GTTTTTAAAACTTACTTTATAAGATTTTCAAGAGCAACGCGACCGTTTGAAACAAACAGCAGAAGGATTGCTAGATTGAAAAACCCGCGGAAATCCTTCCATCCGGAACTACCGCTGAACAGTGAATCTTGCGCCGTATGAACTGGTCTTTCCGGATCAAATGCTCGCCTAAAAAGGCTCATTTACAAAGCTAAGCAAAATCGCCGGTTAACAAAAACGAGATTTTGTTCTCGAAACTCCTAAAAATTTCCTTCGTTCTCGAAACTTCCTCAACTTTACCACTGGAAAGTTTCGCATTTCAGATAAATGTTGAAAATACGAAGGTATGAGATCAAGAATTGCAAGCTTGTTTACTCGCATATGTCAAAATATTACATCAAAATATTATGTTTGTAAAATTTTTGTGTCTTTGTTTTTGTGTCTCTGTGCCTTTTCTGTGTTTTTCATAAATTAAATTACACGAATTTAAATGAGCGTATCCGTTTCCTCACGAATGAAGCCGGATTGAAAGCGCCAGTGCTGGTGGAAATAAGTTTTATTCACACGAAATGACAGTATCCACGGGACTTATGGGTGATCCAGTTACAAATCCGGGAGCAAGGTGCTTTATCTTGATACGCGAACACACAGCCCGCGCAGTGCGACAGTATATCGATCATATTAAAGGGATTCTCAGCGGGATTCGTTAAGAGGAAATCACTGTGGAGCTTTCGAAAACATGTCTTTATTAAGGGCACACAAATAAAATATGTAGAAAGTGGAGCCCAGACCAAGCAAATTCCATTGTCTCGCCAAAATGTATTACGAAGAAGCATGTGTGTCTAACGAAATATCACTTTTGGGAAATCCACGCCAATTTTGTCATCTCTTGCAGGCAGATCGAGCACCAAATAGAACAGTGCAGGAAATAGAATATAAATAGCAACGCGCACCAGACTAGCCGGTGCGATCATGCGTTTTGTGCAATTCAGTTCATCGAACGATTGTCAATTAATGATTTTCACTGCTTTCTATTTTAGTCTATGCAAAAAATAGTTCAAACACTGGAAAACAGTTAAAAATTTCACGCACCAGCACATGAAAGCTGAATTCGAAATCTTGAAAGGTGAATATCTTTCCGTGATTCCCGAGTTAATAG